TCCGAGTTCCCACAATCCCCTCCTGGGACTGAGTTAATTTTCTAATGTGACTCACAGAATTCAGGGAAATGCTTACTTAAATTTGGCAGCTAATTACAGGACATTACCAACAATACAGATGCCCAACCAGATAGAAGAGATGCACAGGGCAAAGTAGAGGAGAAGGGACTTGGAGCTTCTATGTCCTCCCTGGTGAGTCATCCTGGTAGCACCCTTCGATATTCAGCAACCTGGCCTCTCTGAACCCTGGAGGCTTCATCACATAGGCACCTGATCAATTATGAACTCAATCTCCAGCTCCTCTTCCATTTTCCTGGAAAATGAAAGTGGATCTGGAAGTTCCAAGCTTCTAATCCGGTTTTTTCTTTCTAGTGACCAGCCCCTATCCAGGAGCCCACCAAAAACAAAAGACACTTGGAAAGATAAATTCCAGAGGATTCAAAGCTCTGTGTCAGGAACTGCATACCAAAGACCAAATATTAAGAACAAAAGGTACATATAGCACCCCTTACATGGGTTTTAGCAGCTCTGAGACAGAAACAAGGGGCAGATACTATATAGATATATAGATAGAGATAGATATTCTATTATATCATAATATAATAGTAAATGGAGGGAAATGGCATGGCATGAGAGATATCATCATAACTTAGCAAGAATGTGCTATGACAGGTTGTTCCAGTAAGCAATGTATAAAGAGTAAGAGCAAACAGTGTGCCCTGGTTTACAGTGTTTATGATTCCTAAAGGAGCATTTGTGCAGCAGAATTAGAAAACATTCACAATTTCTATAACTTATGAAAGAAAAACAATGTCTGGCTTGAGCATCAAGGATTTAGATGGGGGAAAATAAAATGAAGTGTGAGAGACAGACTATCTTACAGCACAGATCATGGCTTAGAGAACACTGGAGGGATAGCAAAATAGTGAATGTGGAGAACTGGCACAGAACAATAGGCTCTTAAATAAGTCAAGTGTGAACCTAGTCCAGGTGTGCAATTAATATTCTAGGATTGTCTGTTTAGTAATGATCTGTTCCCTTTGCTATTAGGGGAAGTAGCTGATTCTTAATTATTTTTGTTTCACTATAAATAGTTACAAATGTTTAATTGTTTTGCTGTTTTTAAAGAAAAAAGATTTTTTTAAAGCCAGCAGTTGAAGAAAGGGATGAGGAGCAAGACATTAAATTTACTGTAAAACTGGTATCTCCAAGCTCTCTAGATTTTCAAATTTTTGTTTAAATCACCTTCTAGACATCTCCCAGGAATGCCTTGGGCACCTCTGACTTAAGGTGTCCTCAACTGAACTCTGGTGTCTTGCTGGATATCTCCTTTTATCATCTCTAGTCCCACTGTCCACTCAGACTGGGGAGCTGCAAATCTGGGAATGACCTACCCATACACACACACACACACACACACACACACACACATCCTCACATCCCTACTGAAGACCCTTGCTTTGGAGATCTCTCCCCTCCTTCACCATCGGCATGGCCTGAGGTCTTCCCCATCAGTATCGGCTGTCATCCTCCACTTCATGCTGTTGCTGAAGTCATCTTGCTAAAACAACTCAGATCAAAGATGCCTCTTTTCCAATACCTGTTTTGGTTTCCTTCTGCTCACACACTCTTACAGGTGAGGCATTTCTTAACTTGCACAAAGGTAATTCATTTGTACATGACATTAATATATAATTACTGCATTATATGTTGTAAGAAAACAAAACTGAAAATGTAAAGCATGAGATAAAGGAGAAATAGCCCTATTATATATTGTACTTATTAATGGTAGGTAAAATATTTTGCTTCCACCAAAATGTTTAGTGAGAGTAATATGGTCTCATATTCTTCATTATTTACGGAAATATTTCTTGCAATAGGGACACTGATAAATCTGGTTCTGAGTACAGTTTATTTCTGTGTTTAGGCTGATGGCTGTCAGAGCTGCTGATACAGAAAGCCATGTACACAAACACAGGAAGTATATCATTGGATGAGATTATGAAACTATGACTACTCATTTTTCACAACCATCTATCAGTTTTACAAGGGATTTTGTGAAAATTTATTAATAGTTATATTATTTGTGCTATCTTCAATTTTAGAAATAATTTGTCCTTTTTGTGAAGCGTAAGTTAATCCAACTAGATAATGTAATACATAAATACACTTAAGCAAATATATGCAAACTGCTAATAAATTTTAGTTGGCTTTAAGAGAGAATAGTTAAAGACATCCCTTCCATGTTGGGGATCCTGACTCTTCCCTCAGAATTCCTTGGACCTGGTAAGTACCCCTGTCTGTCTGACACAGAGGTTAAGTAAGGAAGACAATGTCAATCCATATGTTACTTATTAGTAAAGCCTGGGGCCTTTCAACAAATTATTTAATTATGCCTTCAGAATGTACTGATATAAACACTATGGAATAAATTGATTCTATTAATCTGTTCTGATGAGCATATAAAAATAAATATATCCAATTTATGTCTTGAATATGAGTTTATTTTCAGAGTGTTATAAAATCATAAATACTTCTGTTCACATAATAGCTTTGCATGAATCAAGGTAATATTTTGCTTCTTTTGATGTACAGTAAACATTTTAGTCTATATCCCAAGATACATAATGTATTAAGCTTAATTTCATGTTTTATCCTATATTACCTTATGGAGACAGCAGTTTTAGCTAGAAATTGGGACTTGGGTGAGTTATTTAAGCTCTCTTCTGAATTTCATCTAGAAAATGATAATACTTTTTTGCTAATTCACAGATATTTGGCCCTTAGAACACATACATGCTTTGAAAGTGGGACTATTTTTATTCTGACACTCCATTAATAGATGCTAGAGTCCATGCAAGGCAATGATCCCTATGAACCATCATCTGATGCCACCTTTACCATCCATCTTAATAAACACTATCATATCTTGGTAATGAACACTTCTGTCTCAGTCTAACATGGTATTTCCAATACATTTATAAGTGGTTCACTGTAGCATATCTCTTGAGGTTATAATTTATATTTAAAGCAGTATTGCAACTCAGCAAGAACCCAGAGGTAAAAATTAGATACATGAAAAGGATTTGAGCAAATAGTTTACAGCATTAACTGATGAAACCCTGCCTTTCCTTTTTAGTCCCTTACATTAGTTATTTGTGGAAATGTATAATGCAAATCCTCAGACTCCTAGCTTTAAAGAAGTGGTCATATTACATAAAAATATTTGGGAATAGTTTTATAAAGAGTTAAATGTTTTAAAAGTGGAGTAGATGTCACTGACATCTGTAGGCTGAGGCAATATAAATTTTTTAAGATCAAAAATGCTATTCAGTGACCAGTAACATATTATATCTAAATAATATATCTGCATGGCTATTTTAGTCAGCTTATGCAACAAGAACAATTCAGAGGAGAAAAAGTTTATTTGGGCTTGCAGTTACAGAGTCCAAGATCGGCCAACTCCATAGCTCTGGGCCCAACATCATGGTGGAAGGATGTGACAGAGGAAAACAGTGTAGGACATGGCAATTAGGAAGCAGAGAGAGAGCTTCCTTTGACAGGAAATATTAAGAACAAAAGATGCATCAAGCATCCCTATCACTTAGGAGTTTACATGGGTTTAGCAGCTTTAAGAAACAAGGGGCAGATACTGTATAGATATATAGATATAGATACAGATAGTTTTCTTACTATATCATAATATAATAGTAAATGGGGGGAAATGGCATGGCATGATATCATGGCATGGCAAAAATCAAACCAAAAGACACACTCCCAGTGACTTACTTCCTCCAGCCACACCCTATCTGCCTACAGTTACCACCCAGTTAATCCCTATTAGTGGATTGAGCTATAAATGAGGTTAGACCTCTCATATCCTAATTATTTCATCTCTGAATGTTCTTGCATTGTCTCACACATGAGCTTGTGGGGAATACCTCATATCTGAACCATCACAATGGCATTCTAGATTTATAGCATTTATCAATACTTTATTTCTTTTAAGTATGTCAAATGTTAGGAGATGTACATAGCAAGTAGAGTTGACATAACCTCAGGCCTTTGGAAAAAGCTCCCAGTTAATTGAAGATTTTTTTTTCCACATTGTTATCAGTAATAGCTCCCCTTGTTTGTGGACTGATTTTTACTCACAAAGCAATATTTCAATGTTCTCATGAATATGAAAAGAAATTTCTGTCAAGGGTATAATTCAGATAATGATGAGAAAGCATGAAACAATTTGCTTCTGCTGAATGATTTCATTCTGTCTATGGCCATACGACCCTCAAAGCTTTTGATCTCATCTCAAAGATTTTGTTCTTTGTATACACACATTCACTCCTCAAATAGAGAATGACCACCAGTGTCTTTAAAATTAGAACATTTTCTTTTCTATTTTTTTTTTTTGGAGAGGTACCAGGGATTGAACCCAGAAGCACTTAACCACTGAGCCACATACCCATCCCTTTTGTTATATTTTAGTTAGAGAGAGGGTCTCGCAAAGTTGTTTTGGGGCTAAGTTGCTGAGGGTGGCTTTGAACTCACAATCCTCCTGCCTCAGCCTCCCCAGCCACCAAGATTACAGGCATGTGTCACCATGAACAACAAAATGGAGAACATTTTCTTATGTTGCTATACCCTTTCTTGTTTAACACTTGGTGTGCTCCCCTGAGAATAATAAAATGGAAGACCTTTCCCAGCAGCTATATCATAGAAGAGCTCAAAGGATCAATGCCTGGAGTAAACTGAGCTTGGATAAGTCATAAAATGACCCTGACAAATTGAAATTTTTTTGCTTTTAAGTGTTTTCTTAATAATATTGCATAACAACAACGTTAATGTTTCCCCAAAGATAATACCACCACATGTAATGGTGCATTCCTTGAGCTGATAGTATATGCTTGTCTTTTAATATAGCTAGACAGTTTTCACTTTAATTTTATCCCTATCCCTCCTACATAAAATGGATTCCTGTGGAAGACATTACTCACACTTACCAAGATTTGTACTTTCCCATTCCTTCTAAGTACATACTTGTTAGACAATGATCCGGTGACTTCCTTTGACCATTGAGATGTGAAAAGTGAACTGTGTCCCTTGTGGGTGGAAGCACTTATGTTTGGTGAGCATTTCTCCATACTCTCTTCCTCTGAAATGGTGCTTCTGTTAGTCAGCTTTTCATTGCTGTGCCCCAAATACCTGACATAAACAAATTAAAGGAGGAAAAATGTATTGTGATGCATGGTCTCAGAAGTTTTAGACCATGGTTGACAGGCAACACTGCTTTGGGCCTGAGATGAACATAACATCCTGGCAGGAGGGAAAAGAGTGAGGAAAGTTGCTCAGCCCGTGGTGGCCAGGAATCAGAGAGTAAATAAGGAACCAGAAACAAGATATAGTCCCCAAGGGTACACCCCCAGTGACCAACTCCCTCCAGCCATGCCCCACCTGCCTATAGTTTTCACCTCCTCCCAGTGGTCCATTCAAATTAATCCATCAAATGGATTAATCCACTGATGAGGTTAGAATCCTCATGATCCAATCTCTTCCCAAAAGTTTCACCCCTGGACTGCGCTGTTCTGGGAATCCAGACTTCAACATATGGACTTTTGGGAGGACATTCCAGATATAAACCATAACAGTATTCAAGGTGCTGTCACAGGAATGAAGCAGGCGAGAATGAAGAGTTCCCTGGAGATTTTACAAGAGCAGAAAATTAACTTGGTTTATTAAACCACTGATATTTTGATGGCATTTGTTACTGTGGCATAATTTAGCCTATCCTGACCAATACAATTTCTTACTCAATTCACACTGATCACCATTATGCAGCAGTCCACAGCTGCTGAAGATGACTGTTATACCAGTAAATCATGTTGATACATGGTTGACTCCAGTCACCAAGGAGCAAAGTATTAAAGAAATACTTGAGAATAGCAGGAAGGCAGCTGGGATAAATCATACTGTGCATCCACACTCTTGCCAGGTCCTGGGATTAGCTTGAAGGGCTACTCACAGTCATCTTGGTTTATCACCAAGGAAATATCAGTTTTATGGGAGGAGGGAGTTTAAATAAGACACAGTAAAGGCTAATGGGAAATTCAGTGGAAATGCATAGAAAGTAAATGGAAATGCAAAAAAATGGGACTTGAAAGCAGGTTAAGAAACTGGTATGGATTCAGAAGTAATCTGCACTGACTTTAAAGTTGAACATAAAACATTAATAAAATTTCTGAGGCAAAAAAGCACAGAGGAAAAAATACAAGAAATGAACTTCAGAAAACATTTGTATTTGGGGGATAAAGAAAGGAGGAAAAGCAAGAAAGGAAGAGATGGAAACTCTAATGACAACACCCATTCATTTTGAGAGCTAAGAATATCATATCTTCATTAATAAATTCATTTAAATTTAAATTTCAAGGTTTTTAATGAGGATAAAAAATGTCCTATTCCTTAACAATCCATTTACTCTCTGATATTAAAATGGATTGCACATCCGGCAGGCAGCTGGACATTATCTGTAATAAAAAAGCAAAATGATTTTTAATTCAATGCCTCAGAACCAATTTATCAAGATTTCAAGTAGAAACTGAAGAACTTTTTGGACACATATGATTTTCTCTGCATTACTGTCATGCATTTATTCAACAAATTTGTCCTCTGTGCCTGGCATGCTGCAGGGATTCAGCATTGCTCTTGTGCTAGCTATCTCAGGCCTGTACCCACTTCACACACTGCTCCCCTAACAGGCACTTGGGCTTTGTGCCAGCTTTGTCCCTTCAAGGACAACCTTGAGAATTCATTAGCCAATATCTTCTGAACCTGGTAAGTGCACCAGCCACTACACTAGGCACTGTATATGGGTGTTTTCATTTAATCTTAAAGACAATCCTATGAAGTGGTCGTTAGTATCATCCTGATTTTACAGCCTGGGAAGCTTCAAGGTTAAGAAACTTGCCAAAGGTCACACAGCTAGCAAGTGGTATAGTCATGACTCAAAATAGGGGACCAATGCCAAAGTCTGCTCCCAGCTTTGCTACTGAAAGTTCCAATCCTGGAACTAGCAGGACTGACATTACTAAGGTGTTTGCTGGAAATACAGAATCTCAGGCCTAACCCCAGAGGCACTCAATCAGAATTTGGTTTTAACAAGATCTCCAGGGAATCCCTGTGTAAAGTTTGGGAAGCACGGTGCTAAATCACTTCACTATGAAGACTACAGTTTAATAAATACTAGGGGAGATACATCTTTCCCCCTGAGGAGTAATTTTGGGGGAAAGGTAAATGTATGCTCTCCAAGGGCTAAAGGAAGGATTCGGAAAACAATGTCTTGTTGTTTCAAACACTGGAGAGTATTAAGAGCAGCAAGGGTCGGGATCAATTCCAAAAGCCACAGATACTGAGCTGGAGTTTGAAGCCAGAACATTTTCTCAATTCATTTCATTAAAAATAGGTGCTGTTCCAAATGGACAAGTGCCCACATCAGTAATCTTCCGGAGTTAGCTTATCCAGCCCTGATTTTATTTTCTGAATAGAATCCAAATATCAACAGCATCAACAAGCAGATTTGAAAATTCAATAAAAACATACTAATATTAAATCTTCAATCGTGTTATTTAGCTTAGAATTGCATAGTTTAATTAATGGTGTTCACGATATAGCAGTTTGCCTCTCATTATCAGTTCTGCCCCAGACATAAGCGCAAACAGTTGGTGTAAAGAGCAGCTGCACTCGGGTTGGTGTGTGGACCCCGGTATGGCATAGCCTTCGCGAGCCCTCGGCAAGCCACGCCGGCCTCCTGGCTCAAGATCAGCCCAGTTCTTTTCACCACTGACACCTTCTTCCCTGTCACCAGTTCAATCTCGCTTCCTAGGGCCAGAACCAGCACTTTCCAGCGAGTCATCTTGGACCTGCGGGTCCTCCCCCAGCTGGGGTCTCCACCTGCACCCACGCCCCAGGGAGCAGGGCAGGGGGCGCTGGCTGGACTCTCAAGTGGACTAGCCTGGCCGCGGTGGTGGCAGACGGCTAGTCACGTGCGGCGGTTGGGGCGGAGCGCGCCCGGCCGAGTGGGTGGAGAAAACAAAGCCCCCAGCTGTCAGCAGGAGAAGGAGGCGACCGCGCCGGAGCAGGTGAGTCAAGTGCATTTAAAGCGGTACCGCCCTGGCGCACCCAGATACCCTTTGCCCTGGCTCATTCCCTCCCGAGCTGGGTTCTAGCCGCACCTCTTACCGCTGCCTGGGTCAGCAGCCTGCGGGTTGCACAGCGAGCGGAACTGGGGGTCCCCGAGACCAGTAAGAAGTTGTGCAGGCGTCAGTGTCTTCCCTTCCCGGGTGCACCCCGCGTCGCTCCCGCCGGCGGTCTCTCTTTTGGGGCCCCAGCGCCCCGCACCCCAAGAAAGGGGAGGGAATCGGGGCTGCCACGCTGGCAGAAGGAAAGTGGACTAGCCGAGGGGTGAGGGCTGGGGCAGTCCAGGATTGGGGGAGCTGGCGTCGGTGAAGGAGGGGATCCTGCAGGTGCGAGCACGCAGTGAACAGCCTTAGAAGCTGGACAGTTGAGACGCCGGGGGCTAAGAGCTGCAGGGGACGCTGGCAGAAGCTGCGCACTTTGGGACACACCAGGAAGTGCAGCGCACTGGTGCCGGTCGGCCCCCGATTCTGCTGTCGCCCCCAGTGTTTCCCCTCCGGACGAGAAAAGTCCCATCACTTCTCCAATAGGAGTTCTCGCTCCTGGCACCCGAGACCCAAAGAGCCCTGGTGGGTGGAAAAGGGAGCGGATTATTATTTTGCGGCTAAGTGGTTCTTTTGCAGGGAACACCCTGAGTTAGGGATGAAACCCACTCTGCTTTGGTAAGAAATTCTTCCGGTCTACATTTACAGGGGCTGCGCCAAAGCCAGAAGTCCCACAAAGGGCCAGAAGAAGGGGTGGGCGCATAAAGACCCTCCCCTCTAAACCTGAAGCGTTTGATAATGCAGACCTTTGAGACACCAAAAGAGCTAGTGGTATCTAGTCACCCCATGAGTTACTTTGCCAGTCCAGGGCCCGGGGACATGGGCGGGGGGTGGGCAGAGATGAAACCTCGCAGGAAGGGGCGCTGCAGCCATTTGATCAGGAGGAGCCTTTGTCTTAACCTCCAGCCCCCTTCTGCTAGTCCTCACCGGGCCAGTAGCGCGGTGGAGTAATTAATATTCCGAACATTAGTTGTTCCATCACCTCGGCACCAGCCGCCACTGCGATCGTCCCTTCCCAGCGGGTCTTCTCCATCACTTGCTCAGGTCCGATCCTTTTCCAAAAAAAAAGAAAAGAAAGTGGTCCAGACCCACTAGGAAAAAGAGGTCACTGAAAGCACTATAATGCATTCAATGCAAAAGTAAGGGTTAAGTGTTCAAACCCGGGCCCGCCTGCGCATGAGGAGTCGGAAGAACTTTCTTGATTAGCATAGTATCTGCCCTGGAGCTGTGCTGCTAGGCGGAGGTTCGGTCCCAGACCAGGTGAAGCGTGCAGTCTTGTCTCGATTGAGGTCGGAGTAGCACCTGCTTCTAGACAGAGGACCCGTGGTTTACAGCTTTGCAGAGCAGGACACTGTGGGATGAAACAAAACGGAGATCAAAAGGTAACCGAAGAATAGTAACATTTGGTATGCTTTCTTGGACTCTAAATTTGACGAAGGTTTTAGCAAGCCAATGGGGGGCGGGGGTTAGCAAGCAAAAGGAGGAGCCCTTGCCCTTGCGAGCGTCCCTCCTGGAAATGCTCCCTTGGGTTGCTGCCTTTCTTGTCTTCCAAACTAAGACATTAGTTAGGGGCTATTGTCAGTAGAGCTTTAAGATAGGAAGGAGTCATGAGCCCATGCAAGGGTTCTTAAACTAAATTGACATGTTTCCGACGTATGGGAAAGGCAATGGTTCTCCAAACCACTGGTTCCCAAACTTTGCTGTATATTAGAATCACCTGGGGAATTTTGAAAAATCCTGGCGTCTACATCAGCTCTCAAACCATTTAGATCAGATTGGGGGTGAGAACTAAGCATGAGAAAGAGAGAGAGAGAGGGGGGGGGGGAAGGCCAAAACATTTTAAAACTCCAGATGATTCCATTGTAACACAGTTCCATGTAACACACTTTGGGAACCATTGTTGCAAAGGCAGAGTTCAATGGCCAGCAGCAGGAGGTATTGCAAGACAAGATGCCAGTTTAACTACTTGAGTGGGTGAGAGAGAAGCAATGAAACTAGGGTGCTGATGAGTAACACCCTGGGACAGGAGACTGTCATTAGGCAGCCTGACTGGTGGTGACACCTACCACATCATTTTTCCCTTACCCACCTAGAGTCTGGTTGTTGTTGGAAAGATCCAAGTTCACTGTCAATGCATGGTTTCTGTGCTGTTGTTAAGGGAAACACGGGTTAGAAACTTTCATTCCTGTGATGACTCATGTGTAGCAGGCAGCAGGGAAACCCAGCAGAAACAAACCCAGAGCAGCCTGGTGAGTCAGCAGGCTGCAATCCAAAGGCAGCCCGGTGAATAGGAAGCAATTACAGCAAGTTGCTTATTGACACACACATACACATGCTGCACTCCATTGAAAGCACATTTTAGTGTCTGATCAGAATCTGCTTGTAAAAACTGCTCCCTTTTTCAACACCCAATCCTCCCTGCTTCATCTAATGCTCTCTGCTTTTAAGAGGAAGATTCAAGCCAAGCCAACTAGACATCTTGTACTTTCCTTTGAGGAAGACACATTAAAAATGAAGAAAATGTAAACTGGTTTGGGTTATTTCAGTTATGTGAAGTAGAAAGGGAGAATTTGTAACACATTTTAATACAAAAAAGTCAAATATTCTTTATATGTTCATAGATGATTTAATGGAGCTATTCAACTAGAAAATGGTTATAAAACATTGCATATGAAATTAGTTTGCTATTGACCAAAGGTTTCTTGCTTAAAAAAAAAAAACTTGTTTAAAGATTCAGTTGAATAAACTTATTATTTTTCCTATTTTTATTACTTTCAGCTTCTTTATCTCTTCCTCTCTTCATTATCATCACTCTATCATTGCCTAAATGCTTTCTTCTGTATCTTTAGCAGTTTTTAAAGAGAACAACAGTGCCTGACACATAGCAAGCTCTCAATATTGTCTGCTATTGAAAATCATTTGAACCTATCTTATAGCACCTATTTGGAATTCTATTATCTACTAGGGGCCTTTATGTCTGTGTCCCCATAGAACCATGCACAAGACCCCTTGTGATATATATGTTGCTTGTGTGTACTGAAGATTATTCAAAAGAGAGGAGAAACATTGGAAAACAAAGCGTTCTAAGTACATTCAGTTTTATAATTTTCAGACATCCATTCTGGATATGAAGAAAGCAAAATCCTGTTATAATTCTTAAGTGCTATAAAATGATAGTTAATTTAGACTTCCATTTTTACACAAACTTAGCATTTTGAGTATAACTGATATTTGTTATAACATTTAATCATACCCTCATGATCAAGGATTCACTTCACAGAACTTCTTTCTCATTATGGAAAAAAGTACATATCCCAACTATGGGTGCCTTGAGGAATTTAGTAGTTTAGGAGTGTTATTGCAGTATAGGTTAATAGTTAAACTGCTTTTATTGGCATCTGCCTTCTGCTCTTATTAAAACAGGACAAGTAGGGACTAGGGAGATAGATCAATGGTAGAACACTTGCCTAGCATGTGCAAGGCCTTGGATTCAATCCCCAGCACAACATCAATAACAATTAAAAAAAAAGAAAGTACATTTCAATAACCAGCATATTAAAAAGTGGCAAGTTGGAAGTTAGAAGTTGGCTGTTTCTTGACAAAAAAAAAATAATAAATGTTAATAAGAATTCCCAGAGGAGAAAAAAAATAACAATGTAAATGTATCCATTCTCACATCTGTACAGCTTAGAAAACAGACTGGGGGTACACATCTAAAGTTGTTACCCCTTTTGGAGAGGTCTAAGATTTGAAAGGTTAGGTGCAGTCTAGAAAAGCAGGACTGGTAAGATAAACACGTATCAGTCAGAAGCTCTCCATCAGAGGATGATATGTGCCTAATTCTGTGATATTTACAAATAGCCCAGAGAGGTGGGGCAGAAAGAAAGGGTGTTATCTCAATTTTAGAAGCTCTGAAGTTTTTGAGAACAGATGAGAACCACCCAGTCTCATTACCTTCAATTAATAGAGCCCTTTGGTCTAAACAACTGGGTAAATGATATTCCAAGATAACATAGGGGAAAGTGAAGTGACCATCCAAAGTGGCAATACTGTGGTTAGAATATTGGATTATTGACTTCTTCTCCCATGTCTGTTACATTGTATGGGTTTATGTTGTGTCACTTAGAGGTTTTGGCTAGACAAGATCAGTTCTAATTATCTCCTCTTTCCTTAAAATAAGAAAAACTATTCGCATATGTCATGTGATTACTGACTTTACTCATAAATAACCTCTGGATTAGGACAATCCCAGTCTGAAACATCTTTAGCTTCTTATCTAGATAACCAAGGTAATATATTCTTAAATCTTTCCCCAAGTTATAGAAGCATAAACTCTTTTGTTTTAGGGACCCCTAAAGGTTAGTCCCACCATCCAGTGAAATTTAAATGCCTTGTGCAATATCTTCTCTAAGGAGTATTCCAATTTATGCTTGAATGTTCCTCTGTAAACACATTCCAGTCATGGGACATCTCTGCAGAACTTTACTGTTGGAACTTTTGGGAACCGCAAAGAACAATCCAATTCTTCTCCACAATTTACCTGCAAACATCTGAAACATTGAAAGGGTTGTATCTGAGCTCAGTGGAGGAGTACTCATCTGGCATGCTTGAGGCCCTGGGTTCAACCCCCAGCTCTGCAAAAAATAAATGTATTCTTCTTAATCTGAAATAAGAAAAAAAAATCTATAGGATTTCAAATCTTAAGTCCACAAAATGTTTGAGGAGTATTCAAAATTATGGTTTGTTATATAAGAGCTTCATAAAATGGAATTACTGGAAAATTTCTTTCCCCAAAATTACTGCTGATGAATTTCATACACAAACATTGACCTTGTATTGAACTGAAACTCAGGGTTTCATCTGTTTCAGGGGTCACCAAACTATGGCCCACCATCTATTTTCATGTGGCTCTCTAAGTAAGGGAGGGTTTTATATTGTTTTAGTCATTAAAAAGAAAATACAAAGAAAAATATTTCGGGACACTTGAAAATTATATGAAATTCAAATTTCTGAGTCCACAATAAATGTTTATTGGGCCACAACCATATTTATTTCTTTACACCTTATCTATGACTGTTTTTGTGCAACTGCAGCAGAATGGAATAGTTGCACCAAAGATTGTTGATCCACAAAACCTAAAATATTTGCTGAATATTTATGAAAAACTTTGCAGGCTTCTAAGTTACTGTGACTCAACATGTTCTGATTTAATATAAGCATTTGCTCACTTAAAGTCTTCATCACTTTTTACCCTTTAGTGAAGATAAATTTCTTACCAAAGAAATCAACTAAGCACTTATCTTCATCTTCTTCTTGTATATTTACTTAGCAAAACCAGAAAATTTCAAAGTAGAATATGGAGTTTAGTGATTGGGTCAACTATAAAACTTCTGAACAAGAACAAGTTCACGATGGCAGAATGCAATACTACCTAGTCATGGTTTCCAGAGTTCTAGAAAATGTGAAAATACATCCTTAAGTGAACATTTAGCAAAAGACACTTCCTATTTCTGCAACCCATGAGGGCATTTGTACACTTACTTATTGTGGTGTGTTAAGGCAATAACTGGGAGATGTCTTCAAATTTAGAAATTTTTCATTGTCACTTTATACACTAAAATTACATTAAAAAAAACTTGCTTATTTTTAGAAATAGTGCTATTTTTTAAAAAAAAATTATTTATTTATTTATTTTAGTTGTAGTTGGACACAATACCTTTATTTTATTTATTTATATGTGATGCTAAGGATCAAACCCAGGGCCTCACATGCCAAGCAAGTGCTCTACTGCTGAGTCACAACCTCAGTCCATGGCACTACTTTTCTTTTTTTTTTTTCTTTATTAAATTATTCATTTACTCTAATTTGATGTACACAATGGCAGAATGCAATTCATTTCATATTACCCATATAGAGCACAACTTTTCAAGTCACTGGTTGTATACAAAGTATTTTCACTCCATTCTTATCTTCAAACATGTACTTAGGGTAATGATGTCTAACTCATTCCATTGTCATTCCAACCCCCTTGCCCTCTCCCTTCACTCCCTCCCCTTTACCCTACCCAAAGTTCCTAGATTCCTCCCATGTTCCCCCCCCCCATCACTGTTATGAGTTGGCATCCTCATATCAAAGAAAACATTCAGCCTTTGGTTTTGGGGGATTGGCTTAGTTCACTTAGCATTATATTCTCCAACTCCATCCGTTTACCTGCAAATGCCATGACTTTATTCTCTTTTAATGCTGAGTAATGTTCCATTGTGTGTGTATATACCAAAGTTTCCGTATCCATTCATCTACTGA